ATCTGCAAATTCCCTGAGGAAATTCAGTGAAATTATATGAAAATCGATAGCAAAATAGTTTAGATATGAAATCCACTCAAATCCCACTTTTCCTTCTCTCACATCTTCATCCTCTTCACGCCAGGGATGAAACCCCTGCCTGTGAGGCATCCTATGACTCTGTGTTAAGTGTAACCCACTAATATCCTCATCTGGTATAAGAGAACAATCCTCTCTGAAGCTTCTTGGCTGTTGTTTGTGGCACTTTGCTGTATTTAATATTTTTGCAGCATTTGTGTTCATCACATTTTCAGAAACCTCGGGGGGACAAAGCTCAAGTTAAAATGGCACAAATTAACGGCTTTTTGCTGGTGAGAAGGCAGAAGTAGACCATTTCCCTCACCTTGACTCACTTCCCTCACACTCCCCTGCACTGACAACCAGAGAATGTTTAGATTTGGTCTGTGAACCCGATAAAATCCTGGTATAATTGTTATAATGGTTGCAGATTAGCAGGTGCTAATGGTTTTTAATGCATAATGTTCTTACTGCCAACACAGACCAATTTCAGCTCTTGACTGGAATGTTATCCGGTTTTTTGATCACTTACTGATTACATTACCAGTTTGAAGGCCAAAATAAAAGCACTCCTGATTGTTCCACTTGTAAACATCTGCTTTCCCTCCTTAGTGAGTTCATGGTGGAGGAGCATGAGCTGCAGAAGGAGAAGATTCAGGAGGACTACAATGACAAATACTGGGATCAAAGATACACAGTGGTCCAGCAGCAAATTCCCTCATTCCTGCAGAAAATGGCTGATAAAATCCTCAGCACAGGTAGGTGCAGATATGTTCTGATGGAAGAAGAATCTTGAGCGAAGCCTTGCCGTCCTTTGTGTAAAGCTGACACAGATGTCACCATGCCATGGCAGTTTATCAGGCTATCCAGCTAAATTGAGAGGAATAGAAGAGTCAGATTTCAAAGGAACCCCAAATCCTATCAATAAAACAAGATGTGGGAAGGAGCCCAGCAGGAACAGACTGTCTCCCTGCTGCTGTGTGGGTACAGTGTTCCAGCAGCTAGCTAGATGGAGCTAGGCACCTGAGATTGGACCAGCTGACTGTTCATTTGAGGGTTTAAATGAAGTTTGGAAGCCAAATGATGACAACCATTCTCCTTGTCCCTCCAAAAGCAACTTCTAGCTCATCTGCAGAGACGTTTTGCCTCCACTGGGAAACAAAACCATCCCTAAATCTCTTTAAATGTGATATTAGATTTAAAATGCTCTATCATCTTTTAAGGGTGTCTCAATCCTTTCCAGCTTTCAGTGCAACTGAGTGTGAACATCTCACAGTGTTTCTTCCTCCTGCAGGGAGTGGTGTGAAGGTTTCTGTGTTGACTGCACAGTAGGGATGAATATGCCTCTTTCTTTCTTTTCTAGGGAAATACTTGAATGTTGTGAGGGAATGTGGGAGAGATGTGACCTGTCCTGTGGCTAAAGAGGTCATCTACACTCTAAAGGAGAGAGCATATGTGGAACAAATAGAAAAAGCGTATAACTATGCGAGCAAAGTTCTGCTGGACTTCCTGATGGAGGAGAAAGAGCTGGTGGCTCACCTAAGGTTTGATTTCTTCTATTAAATACATGATAAATACATTGGTGCTGATAGGAGGCAGAAATCCTTGAAGTTAACTCTCTTTTCTTGGGATATTATCAACGTTTGACCTAAATAACATTTTTCCCTGAAGAGAAAAAACAAGTCTAAAGTCATTGAGGTGTTGAGTGTGAAGGATGTCTTGGGCTCTCTGGTCCAACTGCCTTAGAAGGCCGTTGCCAAAACTAGGTCAGGGTGGTCATCGCCTTGGCCAGCCCAGTCAGATCAGGAGTCTGCAAGATAATCATAGAATTTTAGGGGTTGGAATGGACATTAGAGATCATCCAGTGCCAACCCCCTGCCCTGGGCAGGGACATCTCCCACCAGAACAGGTTGCTCAAGGCTTCATCCAAATTGGCTTTGAACCCTGCCAGGGTTGGGGCAGCCACAGCCTCCCTGGGCAACCTGTGCCAGTGTCTCACCACCCTCACAGCAAAAACTGCTGCCTAATATACTACAGATAACTTGTTAATTGAGAGGAGCCCAAGATTCTGCTCTGAACTGGCAGCTGGATGTGCTCACTGTGGAGGTTGCGGTGTTGTTCAGGAGAGCAGTAGGAGCCTTCACACACCATACCGAGTTTTTTTTCCCTAAGGTGCATTTTTCAAGGCCAAAAAAAGAAGAGCAGCAATTCTGGTCTGACTGCACAAAAGCATCCGACTGAGGGGGGAGGGAGGAGGAGACATGAGTAGAAAACCAGTCTCCAAGTTGGTTATTTCTGTCTGTGTGCTGTCTATGTTGTCATCAAACCCATCACCCTGTTCGAATCAATTCCTCTTGTTCTTTAGATTTGCTATGGCTTAACTTGGCCTTTAAACAAGTTAACCAATTGTCCCTTCATTTCCTTGAGCAGGTCTATAAAACACTATTTCCTGATGGATCAAGGAGACTTCTTTGTCCACTTCATGGATCTCACAGAAGAGGAACTCAAGAAGCCTGTGGACGACATCATAACGACGAGGCTGGAGGCTCTACTAGAGTTAGCCTTGAGGATGAGCACAGCCAACACAGACCCTTTCAAGGATGATCTAAAGGTAATAATGGATGAAACGAGAAGGTAACTGGAGCAGAAAGCCTGCCATGATGTGGGGAGATCTGTGAGAACCTGCTGCTTCCTAGTTTGGCTGGAGAGTGACTCTGACCACGTGCATGTTGTTACACAGTAGTTGTATCCTGTGGTTTCATTTCTTCTCTATTCTTCCTTTATAGATTGACTTGATGCCCCATGATCTCATCACACAGCTCTTGAGGGTATTGGCGATAGAAACAAAGCAGGAGAAAGCCATCATTAGTGCAGATCCCACTGAGCTCACCCTCAGTGGTCTGGAAGCATTTTCCTTTGACTACATTGTTAAGTGGCCTCTGTCCCTTATCATAAACAGGTAAAGTATCAAGCCACTGAAGGAAAAAAAGGCAGTTGGGTTGAAGTACATTTCCTCACAGCCATGTACTGGAAATCCTGTCTCTGTAAGCTGAGGAGTAAGGAGTGATTTGGGGTTGTTGAGCCCTGCTTGATGACACGAGATGATCTTTGAGGTCCATTCCAACCCCTTAACATACTATGAAAGTTGTAGACTATGGAATATGGATTATCTCTTCAGCAGAGCCTTGTGTCTAAGGCATGATTGGAATGTCAGACCTTCTTTTTAGTAGTGGGAAGACATAGATCACAGAATCCCAGACTGGTTTGGGTTGGAAGGACCTTGAAGCTCATCTCATTCCACCCCCTGCCATGGGCAGGGACATCTTCCACTAGTGTAGTTTGCTCTAAGCCCCATCCAACCTGGCCTGGAACACTTCCAGGGATGAGGCAGCCACAGCTTCTCTGGGCAACCTGTGCCAGTGCCTCAGCGCCCTCACAGGGAGGAATTTCTTCCTAATATCCAACCTAACCCTCCTCTCTGTCAGTGTGAAGCCATTCCCCCTTGTGCTGTCCCTCCAGGCCTTTGTCAGTAGTCTCTCTCCATCTGGCAGGAAGGGTTGGGACTAGATGATCTGTAAGGTCCATTCCAGCCCTTAAATTCTATGATGCTATGATTCTTTCAAGCTCCTTCAAGTACTGAAAGTCCACAATTAGGTCACCCCAAAACTTCTCTTCTTCAGGCTCAACACCCCCAGTTCCCTTAGGGATGCTTTCCCAGCCTGGTCCTTGGTGTTACTTGTGACTGGTCACCCAGATTTCATTTATCCCTGGCTTTCTGAAGTCCATGAACTCTCCCAAGAAGATTTCCTTGCCAGAATCCAACACTTCCAAACCTGGAGAGCTGAGCAAAATGCTCTTTCTGCTATCCTTGATTGCAGACTCGAAGGGCACAGCTGTTGCTAGAATCACTACAAAAAGCTATTTTTGCCGTTAATTGAGTTGTGAGGGACTGAATGGTTCATTTTCCACAGGGATTTTCCTCTTGTTTCTCTGGAGAAGCACTGGCAGAGCCACTGCCTGGAGCCACAAACAGCATTGCATGAAGAGGGTGACAGATGTCGAGTGGTTAAATGCCAGCGATCAGTTCATTCCTTAATTTCCCCTCTGAGAACTCAGTTGGATCAGTGGGACTTTTGTAAGGATGTGATGATTTGGGAATGGTGTCTCTTCCTTTCCAAGGAGTGTGTTAGCTCTGGAAGTGAAAATAGGCTTTGGGGAGGTTTCATGTATCGACTGGAGCTGTGCAGACACCTCCGCTGCGGCGTCTGAGCACAGACCTGAATCCAGTCCCTGAGCCTATAAATATCCAGCCCCATCTGCTGGTGCCAGTGCATTGCTGGGGGGTGAATGCTGCCTGGAGCTTGGTTACAGCTTCTTTCCCTCTCTTCTGGGGAATTACTGGGTGATCAGAGCAGCACAGTGGATACACGACCACAGACTTTGTCCCATCACCTGTGCAAGTGACTTCCCCATGGAGCTTGAGGGGGTTGAAGGAGGTTGAAGATGTTCCCCCTGGCAGGAAGTATGGAGGAGGGACTCCTTGGATAGGAATTCTTTGGGCTGGTTACAAATGTGCTGTTTTGCCTTTGGTTCAGCTTGTTTCAGTGCAGATCTGTGTGTCTGAGGGCGTGAGGAACATATTGTGTGGAGTCTCTTTACCTTTGAGCAGCCTCAGCCTTCACAGCTTAGTCTGTCAATCACAACAGGCTTTCTCCTTTCTTTCCAGGAAAGCTCTGACAAGGTACCAGATGCTTTTCAGACACATGTTCTACTGCAAACACGTGGAGAGACAGTTGTGCAACGTTTGGATCAGCAACAAGACAGCCAAGCAGTTCTCCCTGCATTCAGCTAAGTGGTATGACCTTGCTTTTCATCTCAGCTGGACCAGTTTGGGGGTTCCTTCTTGCTAATTAGCTGTGTCATGACATGACTCAGATGATATTGGCATGAGAAAGATCCTTACAAATGTCTCATAGGTTAGAGAGATCAAATTATAACATTTTAGGTTTCACTCCATAGTTGCAGTAGGAAAATGGCTTTAATAGTTAATCTTTTTGGTTGAACATAAGCAAATATTCTAATTGCCCAGTCTACAAGGTGTTAAAAAATATGACTCTAGTAATTGAAGGAAAATCATTGGCACACATGGAAAATCATAGAATTATAGAATCATCATCAAGGTTGGAGGAGACCTCTAAGACCGTCAAGTCCATCCATTAACCTGTCACTGCTGTAAAACTATCAGAGCTGCTTTGCTTTGACTTTCTAATCCCTCTCCCACTGCAGCACGGAATTTGCTAGGACAGAAATATTTAGCTCTGGTGCTAGTTCTGGTGACATTTGCAAGCTCTGAGGTGTGTGGGTGTGATTTCTCCCCTAGGTTTGCTGGAGCCTTCACACTGCGGCAGAGGATGCTGAATTTTGTGCAGAATATCCAGTACTATATGATGTTTGAAGTGATGGAGCCAACCTGGCACATCCTGGAGAAGAACCTCAAGCTGGTGAGTGTGTGCCTAAAATGGAAGTATACGGAAGTTTTAAAAACTTTCATATGGGGGGGAAATGCCTCATTCCAGTTACTGCAGGTGTTGGAGGCACTTACGTATCTTGGACCTGTTGTTGTTGCTGTGCTGCATCACCTTCTGCTTTATTAGACATCTGTCCCTTTCCTGTGCTGCATCCACCTGTCTATGTAGGCTACAGCACATCTTTATTGATGATCTGGATATGGGGGTTCAGTGTACCCTCAGGGAATTTGCAGATCACACTAAGCTGAGTGGGAACATGGATCTGCCTGAGGGCAGGAAAGCTC